GTCTGCCTTTTCCCCCCTGCCGCTGCCAGATGTCTGTACAAAGCCAGAGAGCAGAGGCTCAGAGGATTTTCCCTTCTGTACTATTGTTTTTTTGAGCTCTGCACTGCTGCAAAAAGTAATTTTCTCTCTCCCCAGCCCTTGCTGTGGCGTGGCAGTGACCATACTAATCAGGTCTCGAGCATGACCCCTGAGACGCCTGCGATGGGAGCCAGCTAACAGCTTGACAGCTCCGTGTCTTCCCCGACTCATTACAAGCTCGTTTGCAAGGATGCCACCACCCTCACCCCCTCTAAGGGATTTTGGGCGCTTGCCTAACGTGCAAGGGGTTCGGACCCATGTTTGTACATGGTCTTGGGCAGATCACACCTTCCAGAGATGAATTTACTATGGAGGGGGATGGCTGGATATTCATTAACGCCTCTGCAGATGGTGCATGTTCCTGTTGATGTCGTGAAAAAGCCTCTTTGCTCATCCCAGTACTCCTCGAGTCTTCTGCACTTCAAGTGACCCAGAGCTGAGGTTCTTACCAAGGGATTTTCTGACCCAATAAAACGTTGTCTCTTGCTGCCATCCCTGCTCTCCATCCCTCGGTCATGGGGCTGCAGGGGAATTGCTGAGAGTGGATCTGGGTTGTGCTGGTTTGCAGTGTGGTGCTTCTCAGTGGGGCTTCACCTGTCTTACCCATGGTAAGAAGCCCCTTTATACCTCACAGCCTTCAGCCCCGGTGTGCACACACCCCAACAGGTTACACACCCCCACCATGGGTTACACATGCTCTCAAGAAGATGTGCACATGCACTGATGGGTTATGTGTAGACCCGATGAGTTATGCACCCACCCCACGGCTTATGGATGCACCCTGACGGAGGTATGCACCCACCCCATGTCCTACACTAAACTGCACGGAGTTTGCTGCTGCACCCCCCTTTCTTTCGCCTTCCTCCCTGCCTGCAACTCTATGCACACCCCTGGAACATCTCTGCATCCTTAAACTCAAGGAGCTTGTTCTACTCCCTGTAAAATAAACCAAGAGAAATGGGATTTTCAGACTCTCTCCCAGAGAGTCCCAACAACCATCCTGCTCCACTGCTCCAGTGCTGTCAGGATGATTTACAAACAGTATAAATATAACTCCACAGCCCCAGCATCTCCACCCCAGCTCACCCGAGACCATCCGTCACCTCCTGCACAGGGGAGCTGTGAATGGGGGTTCAGGCAGCTGCAAAAGTCCATGAGCAAGACAAGGTGGGGGGAGGGGAAGGGGAAAAATCCTCTAAAATCAGGGGGGAATTTAGGAAATCCCCAGGTGCTCTACAAAAACCCCAACTTTCCAAATGCAGGAAGCTCCTTGGGAAAGCAGAAAAAGGTGGGGGGGGGTGTAAAAAACTTGGAAGGAAGGGGGATTTGTGGCCATAAAAATAAAAGCTGGGTTATTTTTTCCCCATGCTTCTCTCTCTGTGGTTTCTCAGAGCGTGATTTGCCCAGTCGCCCCGGCACAGCATCATCTCACCGAGGGCTCCAGCATCTCTCCGCACAGGGGGGATTATGCAAATCCAGCCCCAGCTCACGAGAAAGTGGGTTAATCCAATATTACCAAGTGGAAAAGGGAAGGAAAAACCCGGCGGAAATGGCAATGCTGGTGGAACGAGCACCAGGCAAAAAGCCTCCTCCCCAAAATAAGGGGGAGACAAGTGAATTACAAGCTGCAATTTAGGGTTTGGGACAGCTTTAGGTCCACATCTGGATATTTCAAGGCCAGGCTGGATGAGGCTTGGAGCAACCTGGTCTAGTGGAAGGTGTCCCTGCCCATGGCAGGGGGTGGGACTGGATGATCTTTAAGGTCCCTTCCAACCCAAACCATGCTGTGATTCTAGTTCTCTGCCTACATCCCCTACACACCTAAATACACATATTTATAGCAAAAAGCGAGGACTCGAAAGAAACACTCCTGTGCAAGCACTGCGCTCCAGCAGCTGGATATGTATCAGTATAGAGAGCATCTTTTCTTATTTATAAACCCACCTGGGAGCGAAGAAGAGCTTTAAGGCAGAGATGTTCCTTGTTCAGGTAGCAGAAAAATGGTAAAACCAAGAAAAAATACCGTACAGGAAAGGGCGAGCGCTTCACCCAATGCCACCTGCCCGATGAGCTCTCTCTTTGCCTCTTCCAGGGACAAATGTGCAAACCAAGAGCTGAGCTTTTTCCCCATTCTGGAAAACTAAGCTTTCTCTGATCAAACCACTTTGGTTTTTTTTTTTTTTTAATGTGTTTGTGTTTGGCAGTTTATCCTGAAATTCTGTGGACGAAGCCAAAAAATCCCCTCTGGACTGTTATATCTGAGGCTGGATCCAGACTTGGCGCAGATAGAGTGATGCTGGTTGAGGGGGAAATGCTACAGCCCTCAAATCCCCCCTTCCCAAATAAAACCAGACACTCTATGTGTTTCTTTGGTCCAGATTAGCATCCTGCATCTCTTGATATTTTGTGGACAGGGATGACAAGGGGAAAGGTTTTTGGGGGAGTCTCAGCACTGCTCTCCTATGAAGAGCCCAGCACTGCTCCTCAACCCCCAGACACTCTCAGTTATGCATCATGTCCCCCACAGCATGAAAACCACCCTCTTTTTTTTGGCATAAGTTCACAGCCAACACGAAAATCTCCTTGCACAGCGGCGCCGACTCAAGTCCCCGGTTCCCAAATCCTGACTGGCACCAACCCAGCACTGAACCGAGACTGCCAACCCCAAATCCACCTCTAAACCGTAGCAAAACACCTGGAGAAAACCTCATGGAGCCCTCAGGACAATTGCAAAGCCATTTTACATCTCTGCTCCCCCTCCCCAGGCTTTCAAAGGCCAGCCTGCCTGCCTGCCAAATCGATATTCCCATCAGCAAGAATGCTGTCTGCCTTCCTCTCCTCCATCCAGCCTTGACCTTCTGTTGCACAGGAGCAAAGCAGCCGTGTGGCTCTGTATCCCCGTCCCCAAGGGCAGGGAAGGGGCACTGGTGTCGCTTACCCGGTACCAGACGATCTCCCGCATCTTCCCATCCGTCTTGAAGTTGCATTTGAGGGTGACGGCATCTCCCACCACCACAGGCGGCAGCGGCTCGATGCTGACTGTCAAGTAGGCTGGAAAAGTTAGAAAAAGAGACATGAGCTTCCAGGGAAAGGTGGGGCAGGGGTTTAAAAGACTCTTTTCAAATGGCTTTACAGTATTAATAGCCCTGCTATGGGGTGCAAATGCTGGCTGCATCCCACACAGGGATAACCACTTGCCCATCAGCATGGCATCTTGCCTCCTTGCAGTGATAAATTTTGGCTGCTCCCAACACACCAAAAAAAGCACCAGCTGGGGAAAATCCTTCCCGACCTTATTTACCAGCTTACGGCAAAATGTAAGTACCGACTGTTTCACTGCTTCTCTCCCCATCTTTGCAAAACTCCCCACTTTTGTCCAAGTAAGTCCCAGGTGCCCAGATTTTAAGGCTTGTTTCGGTCCATGAATAAAGCCCTGATCCCACCAGCCACCTTTCCCACCTACACACTCAAGCCCATCCTTCCTCTGAAGATATTGGCTTTGACTTTGTCTCCACCACCATCTGCCCCACATTTGTTCTCTCCCCACTGCAGACCAAGTTCCTCCGTCCCAGGCTTGCTTTAAAACCCTCTAAATTACTCATTCCTTATGGGAGCAGGTCCAACAGATTAATCAGAGGATGTGCAAAGCCCAACCTGTGGTTTTACAGCCCAGCCTTGGCCGACAGCCTGCTCCTTCCCCATCTCCCCCATCACCAGATGCAGGATCTGTCCTCGTAGCAGAGGGAAAATCAGAGCACGGGCCATCCTGTCTGGCCATTTTCTCCCCATTTCCCCTCGATTTGCTGCAGAACTATTGCAGGAGCATGGAGCAGCCAGGGTCAGGAGGGCAGGCAATTGCATTTCTATTTTATTTTCCTCTATTTCCTTTGGCTGCTGGAAGATGTCAGATTGACAGCCTGGCAGATCCAAGCCTTTCTTTAGCATCCTTACCCTGACTGCACCCAGTTGACACTGTCTGCAACCAGGGCACCCCAAAACAGCCCTTAACTCACTGCAAAATCCCATTATTTTTTTAATTACTGCTTGCATCTGGTGGAAAACCAATGTAGAAAAACCCCAGAGCATCTGCAAAACAGAAGCAGGTTTGGAAAGGGTGTTGCAGACACTGAGGCTCCCTTGCAGAAGATGCCCCAAAAGAGGGGAAGGTGATTTTATAAGTCCCACAGCCAGCAATTCGAAGCTCACATCCCTTGTAAAACAAGTTGCTGGTGTTTTTGCAGTAAATCTCAGCCACAACCTGCGGGACAGCACGCTGCACACACACGTGCCTGCTGCAACAGCACGGCAGCATGGCCCGGCATATTGAGCACCAGGCTCTAAAATTCAGGAAACGTCAAGAAACCCAAGAAAATCTCTTCTTTTTGGGGGGACTGCAAAAGCAGGTTTGCTGCTGCCATCAGCTGGATGCAAGGAAATGTGGAAAAAGGGGGAATTTTTGGTGGTGGTGAGTACTGGGGGGTGCTTTGCAGCATTGCACAGAAGGTGCATGGGAGACAGCAGCGCCAAGCAGGGATTGGGGCTAAATTAAAGGCTGTTTTCAGCCCTGAAATAGGGCTTAATATTGCACCATTGCAATCCCAGCCTGACACCTCCCTCCTCGCCGACAGCAACCCAAATCCTCACCAGCAGCCACGCTCATTCAGGGACGGCTTCTTTCCAGCCTCTCTCCTTGCCTGGACAGGGTTTATTTTAGCACGCTAAAGCGAGGATTAATTCCTTGCGGCTGCCAACACAGCACGCGGTCCCCTCGAATTCGGGGCTTTGCAGACAGGCAGCGATGGGAGGGGGAGGAGGAGGAGGGACGCGAGGAAGGTCAGGCGAGGTCTCGCAGCAGGTGCCCCGATTCTCCCACGCTTTGCTTCTGACATTTCCAGAAGCAAGATGAGCAACAGGCACGAAAGCAAAGGGAGGGGGACGAGCAAACGTTTTGCAGCACAGTGGCGTCTGCCCAAAGGAAATTGGGGACAGATTTGCGCCAGGGACGAAGGCTCCAGGCGTGTGGAAAAGCTCTCCCTCTTCATCAACCAGCGTTGGGAGCCGCTGGGCGAGATTACGTCTCCCTCCTGCCCCCGGCGCGGATCAACAGGGCGATTAAATAAAGCCGGCGGCAGAACTGACGGGTGACAAAGAGCTGAGATTGCGTTTTCCCTTACACCTGCAAATTATTGAGATACAGGAGTTCCCGGCTCGTAACCACAGCATCTCCGGATGCTCTTCCCATAGCATTCATTGCGTTTCAGACCCTGTGCATGGTAACAGGAAGCTGGAGCATCCCCATCCTGGGCCAGCCAGGTGTTTGTGGTGCTCAGACCATCTCCTGATGACTGCTGGCTTTTTGAAGTCAAAAATAATCAAGCCTGGGGTGGCCCCAGCCACCCACCTCCACTCACGTGTGGCTAACGCCTTGGCTCAAGCATTTATCTGAGGAAATCACCCTGCAAACACATCCTCAACCTGCATCTCCTAGACAGCTCAAAAAAGCCAAAATGAGCTTTTTAAATTTTGCTCTGCTCCCTCCATGTGCTGCAAAAACACTTTGAGAGGGCAATGGGGCTGCAGCCCACCAGCTCCCACCTCTACGCCCAGTAATTCAGGCTTGGCTGTACTGGGAGGACAACTGATCCTTAAAAATACCGGAGTGTAAGTGAAGGATGCTCCTGCATTTCTCCTGAGCAGATCCTGCCTGGCAAAGGTGAAGCTCTGGAGCTCTGTGATTTATTGCACTGGTGCCAGGGACATGGACAGGGACCCCGCAGGGGGCTGATGCTGGAGCCCCAGCGATGCCTGGATGGGGCGGGAAGGTGAAAACGCACCAGCTCAAAGAGCATCAGCTGCCAAATTCAGAGCAAAATCGCCCCAGAAGATGGGCAAAAGAAGGAGGGAATGAGCACGAGTGAGAGGGAGAACAGGAAGAAACAGATGCCTGGTCCCTGGAGGAGCCAGCTCTCCACATGCTAAGGATGCATGTAGGGAGGGGGAAAAGCAGGGAAAATAAAGCCTGACACCGAAAAATAAAGCAGGAATCCAGATGGAGCCATCCAAAGCCCGCTGTTTTGCTGGGGCTGACATGCAAATCTCATCCCTCATCCCCCCTCCCCTTTGCTTTCCAGCAGCGGAGGACGGCAAGGTGTCATCGGTGCTCAAAATCCCTGATTTGGTCCCTTTTTTTGGGTTTACTGAGGAGAAGAAACCAGCAGCAACAGGTATTACTATATCCTAAGGACTATTTAAGCAGGGCTGATTTGCAACTCCAAAGGAGGAGCCCAACCCAACATCTCCATCATCCTCCACTTTATCCGCATCCCAAAAGCAGCTCTGAACCCTGAAGCTCCTCTCCTTCGCCTTTGCTCTTTTGAAATAAGACATATTTCATAGCGAAAGCTGTGCCAGGCCACCCTCTGATTAGATTCTGACCTATGGAAATTCAGCCCTCTGATTAGATCGCATCCCTGGGGAGAAAAGAGCATTTTTGCCAGCGAGCAGTGGGAATTCTTGCGACATCCAGTTTAAGGGGAAGAAAAAAAAAAAGGGGGGGGGGTGGAGGGGAGGGGGAAGGGAGAGATAAATGAAATGTCCTTTTAAATCAGGAGTGACACATTAATAAAAGGAGCACATTGTAACATGCTCAGCGCTTTCAATTACAAAATGCTTGGGAGGGAGGAAGCAGGTTTCACCCCGGCCACGCAAGCGGAGGACGCGGCCGGATGCTTCCGCCGAGATGCTGGCAGAAAGCCCCGGTTTTGCCCTATTTGAGCTCCCCCCTCGGGGATTTTTGTACATGAGAGCAGCCGATCACCCCATGGAAATCTCTTGGGATGCAGCACCCACTCAAAAACCCTGAGGTGCCTCCTGTGCTGTGGAGCGAGAGAGCAGACGGGTGGGCGACTGGCTGGCAACTGACCACAGCACCCCTGGGTGCCCTGGAAAACCTCAGGGTGATGGAGCAAAGCACCCCCTCCAAATCTTCCCCATTTGCCTGATATTTTTAAGCTATCTAAATCAAATATTCATCTATTACGCTCGACCGGCGCTCCTGTTCCCTGATTTCTCACCTCCCAGGGCTTTCCAAAAAGCTAACCTCAAAGTGATGCTGGGCTCTGTCCCTTGGGGACACATCCCCAAGCATCAACCTGTCCCCATCCCTGCATTTGGGGACAGTCAAGCGGCGTTTCCAGGGATCAGACCAGAGCGATGCTTTGGGATGGAGCCGGAGGAGAGGACACGTGGGAATGCAGCGGCCCCATCTGCCCCCGCTGTGTGTCCCCCATCCTTCAAGTCCCCTGTACGTCCCCCTCGGCGGAGGCGACAGGGAGAGATAATATTAACACATCATCATTTTAATCAGCCCGTGATTAGCGGGGCTCATACATAATTCACACCAATTCCTCCCGCTGCCTTCCGGCACTCACTTTTCCAAGCCAGGGCTAGGATGGTATTTTGGGGTGCAAATACGAACAGAGAGAGGAGGACCCCCCTAATCAGTGCAGGACTGATTGTCATAATTTTCCAGGCTTTAAGGCATTTGCTGCCTGATGAGGCACTTTGTTGCAGAAGAGCCGACTGGGATGCTAAAAAAACATCCCCCAAAAAAGCAGGGAGCAATCATGCTCCCCATTCTTAACCCGAGGGAGACGATGGGTGGCACGTGGGGAGATCACCAGCCTGCAAGGGTTCGCGACCGTGCACGAAGCCCCAGGGCCAGGGATGTCAGCCGCCACACGCCGGGGCTGAGGAGCGTTAAGCAAACTCGCTTTGACTTGCAGCACTTTGCAACATCTTGTTCATTAAAGATTAAACGCCAGCAGTTGCTCCTGTTCCTGTGAGCACAGCAAATACCTTCTCCCTCCCGCCCCAGCTCCGGCAATGCCTTATTTATGATATTCCAGGGTGATTTACAATTATAATATGTTGCTGTCTCTCCTTGCTAACCCAGGAGGGCTGCGAGGGTCATGAACTGGCAAAGGATTCGCGTCTGTCCCAATCTGGAGCGGCTAAATTTTGCTGAATCTTGAGCTTTTCCTCATGGAAAGCTGCTGCACTGATTTATTTTCTATTTTTTTTAATAGAGAAGTAAGTGTTTTAACACAGGTTTAACAACAGTGAGTGGAATGGGATGTGACAGATGGAGTCAGCATCGTGCTTCCAAAGAAAAAGGTCCTTTTGCAAAGGAAAAAATGGGTTGGGGGCAGCTCCTTTGTGTTTCTAAAGGCATGAACTGCTTGAATTTTCACTGAATTTCCACCCTGCCCTTTGAGAAAATCACAAAATCAAGCACCAGCAGGGCTGAGCATCCCCAAACCCACCGCTGTCCACACAAAAACTGCGCTGGCTTTGGCAAAACGGGGCTATTTCGGGAAATCAAACCACTAAACCCAGCATCACCCGCCGTGAGGAAGAGCCCTGCTGGCAGAGAGCAAATTGTATTAATACTGTGTAAATAGGATATTAACAGGCCGACCAAACAATTAAGAGCTGGTAATTAAAATTCATCTTCCTTCACACCGCGGTGTATTAAAGTACAAACATTTAATTAGATGCCTCTTACCTCACCCATTTGCATAAGTGGGAGGAAACATTTTGCAGCTGTACCTCTAATTGTTCTTTATGGGGATTGCTGGACCAAACCAGCCCCTAAATCTTTAGGTATTGCAGAGCCAGGGAGAAGACGTACAGAATAACTAGGGAGTACGTATAGAATATGCGTTGGTACATTTTTCTCAAACTAAATAGGATGCAATAGACATGTTGAACCTGACAGATCCTATGGATGCATCTTGTGTCTTGTTAGCTTTGTAATCTAAATCAATAATTTTAATCAATACATTGATTGAGTGTGGCCGGTTTGGCCTTCTGACCCCTTTTAAATCAAGATTAACTGAGAAAACCACTTCATTGAGGCTGTTTGGGATAGACAGACCATAAGGTGTCTGTTTCAGTTCAGATTTCATGATCAAAATGTGTCAAAACTACAAAATAATGAAGCTTTACTGGTCACATTTTCTCACCACGTCACAACCCAAGCTTGTAATAATGCATACACATAACGCAAAACCCCAAATCAGCTCCCAACAATTTCAATGCTGGTGCCAAAACCCACTTGAGACAAGAATTTTGAGCACTGCCCACAGCTTTTGGTTTTTTCCTTAAATCCTGGATTTGTCCCAGAAAAAATATCACAGTCAAAAAGAAATAACGCCTAATTTTATGCCATGCCACAGTACCCAACACCACTTGCAGGCAGCAGTCTTAGTAGCACAGAGAGCATCTTCAACACTGAGCAATCACATAAGGACTTCCCAAAGAGTTATGTCGATATATCTTAAGAAAAATCAATTTTTAGACCAGTTTTGTCCTCATTATGAACACTACAGTTATTTTTACACTCTTAAAGGCAGAGGTTGGCTCTTACATACCAGCGCCTATAGCTAAGCCCTGGTATGGTGCAGCAATGCTGCAGGCTGCAGAGAAACAAAGAGCGAGGCTCAAAATGGATCATGCTGGGCTAAAAACATGTTACAAATGCTTTGGATCAGCTGGGTTTTCATGCACATCAGCACAACCTCGGCTTGGTAAATGACCTCAGGCACAGAGAGGGAGAGTTTGGGCCACTTTGGGCACGCAAACGCAATGGGTGATTTGGGTCGTGGGAACCTCAGGATGCTGCGGTGTCTCCTTCTCCCTCTCCAATGCCCACCTCCTGCCCCTTCATCTCCTCCTTCCAGCATTTCCACCTTTCCCTCTCCTGTAACTCTTCTATCAACTACCCAAGCCCCAGCTCTATCCGTCACCAAGCGCCGGCTAATAAAACAGATGTAAACACCAGCATTTTACAAGCTTGTCACCACCTTTCGTGCACGTCTCCCGACAAACAAATCTGCGGAGGAGAGAGCCATCCATATCAGCTATGTGGCTTGGGCATGGACTGAAACAAAATCCACTTTAAC